GGCGCGGCGCATCGGGTTACAGTGGCTCCGCCCGCCCCGGAGTGACATTGGCGCGCGCCTCTGCGCCAGTACCTGGGCCCAGGCTCTGATTCCAGGGGGGAGCAGCCACTCCGCCCTGGCTGGAGGAACGGGGTGCTGCTGCCGATTTTCTCGCGCGAGAGGATCAATCTCAGGTGTGTGCTGCTTGGGATCCCTGCCCCCCCACCCCCCACCCCCGCGCCCCTAGACTGTAGGGGAGTATGATCCCTTTCCCACCCGCGAGTCTTTGGGAACTCTGGTATTGGTGCTGGGAGACGGCGGCGGGAAACTCGGGGGTGGGGTGGGGAGGGAATTAGAATTCTTCATCAGCGGATGAACTTGTACTTTAGCAGGATTTTGGACAGGTTAGACTCCTGGGATGGGCTGGGGGAGGAGGATGGCACCCACCTCCTCAGTAAAGTGGCAGGATTGTAGCTAATGGGAACTTGACTGCAAACTTTTCGCTTGTGGCTGGCCGGCCCTGGTCGGCTAAGAATTGGGATTCGACGATTCAGAAGGGGCCGGAGGCTTTGAGAACCTCACCTTCTGGAGTGAGTGGGACAAGCCTAGGAGGAACTGGAAGGTGTAGGGTGTACTCTGATGAACTTCGAACAGCTTCCACGCCCGCGTAGTAACTTCACGATGCAAATGTAGATTTGTAAAGGGTGCTTCGGCAGAAAGGTGCGAGCCCGGTGAATGGAGTGCTTACTCTTAGCAGTTGGTCTCTGGACAGGCATCCACCAGGGGCAGGGGAACTTTCGCGCCCTGAACAGCATTCCTGAGGCAGTACAAAGTAATTTACAAGCATTGATTCTCATAAAGCCTGGGTGGCTAACCCAAATTATGCAACACATTATAAATATAATAGGAAGCAATTATGAAATCAAGTCATAAAAAAAGCTTTTTGCCAGTGGTTAATTTAGCTAAGTATATAAATAAGTGAGGTAACAAAGTTGGTAAGTCACACTGTCTTTATTGCTTAAAACAACACAGTATAGGTATAACTCATGTTCCAAATTTAAGCAACAGTCAAGTTTTGTATTGGAGTGTGTTGAGGAATGGCAGCTGCCACGTTGGGGCCAAGTACTGCTGACAACCCTAGTTTTGAGTCTCCGCCTTTTTGCTGGCTGTCCATCCTCAGTTGGATACCATTGCCTATCATATCATGTACTCGCTGGTAAAACATGTTATGCTGATGTTGGGACATCCACCCCCCTTCTTCCTCATTTCTCTTAGGATCATCATGTCACTTGACAACGCTCCCCTCATTTTACCCATCAGCTCTTCAAATCAATTCGTGAGTTCAGCAATCAATTAGTGAATAGTGGACGAGAGATGGTATTTTCTTATGTCGGAACCTTGTTGCATCTGTCCTGATAGCTCACTCAGGCCCTCTGTTTTACAGAGAACTTCTAAGCAGTGTGGAAACTCTGTGACCATTTCATTTCTTCTTATTTATTAAAAGCTTCAGTAGCAAGGTCCTATAGTCAATGAGATGGACACTGTGATACCAATTGTCAGTGAGTTTTACCATCCCATTGGGATTTGGGGAGTTCTTAGATATTACAAGCGATCAACCTGCTCTGCTGCTCCCTGAAAAGTTGGAGGGCCAAGCCCACTCAGGGGTGCTTCAGAAGAAAAGCCTGGCACTGTGTCTCTGAGAAACCAGCCATCAAAAATCTTAGGCAGCGCAGATCTACTCTAATACATGTGGGGTTGCCATGAGTCAGAATCAGTTCTACTGCCACAGGTTAGTTTTGCGAACTATTTGATCTCACTATAGATATTTAAAAGTATTTTATTGTCATGTATAAATTATAATGTCAAACTATTAATTCTGAACATATCCTCTTGGGCATTTTCCGTCTTTCATCACGAGGCTGTAAGTTCTGTGAGAGGAAGGCTTGGTCTGCCTAGCACACTTTCATATCACTAAATGCTTGCAGCTGGTGGGGCTAGCTTGTGATGCAGGTAAAAAGCCAAACTCACTGACATCAATCAAGTTGATGCCGATGCTTAGTGACTCTGTAGGACAGGGTAGAACTGGCCTGATGGGTTTTCCAGACTATAACTCTTTATGTGAGTAGAAAGTCTTGTCTTTGCCCTGAGGAGTGACTAATGATTTTGAACTGCCAACCCTGCAGTTAGTCACCCAACAAAGAACCTTAAGCCACCAAGGCTCCTGAGCTTGTAATGAGTATCTTTTCTCAATGAGTGAGTGACTAAACTGTGGGACACACTCTAAATTGGGGTGGGGGGGGGGAGGCTTTGGTTCTAGGAGGGAATGGCCCTTCTTATTACCCTATATATGGTTTTAGGCAATAGAGTTAAATTTCCTGAGCCTCAGTTTTCTCATTGGTAAATGATGTAACATGTAAAATAGAGACATGCATGATAAGCACAAGACATATTCAGAAAGGAAAATCGGAGCCAAGAATGCCAAACCACATCCACTGTTATTGAGCCCAGTCTGACTTATGCCCACCCTACAGGTCAGAAGAAGAACAAGGCATTTCTGAGGTTGTAAGTCTTTACTGGGGCAGATAGCCTTATGGTTCTTCCTTGAAACGGCTGGTGGTTTCAAACTGCTGACCTTGTGGTTAGCAGCTCAATGTGTAACTCAGTATGCCACCAGGGCTATATAATTCAGCATGTGCATGAGTTTTCCAGACTTTTTTGGGTCTCTTTTTAAGTGTGTGTGTGTGTGTGTGGGTGCACTCATGTGGGAGAGGGGGAGAGTTCAGTGGCTGGATGGTTGTCAGAGAAGGAAAGCCATTTCTAGGACCATTATCTGACTTCTCTTTACTTTTTAATGTGGTTTTTTCCCTCTTAGGTTTTCTAAAACCTGGTTCTTTTTCCTTGTCAGCTCCCAGACTCATGGGGTTGTACTATGTGCAGAAACATTTCAGAAAGAGTACTAAAATACAGCTATTGGTGTTTACTCATGTGAAGCAAAAGAGAATAAAGGTAATGAAAGGCGCAAAGCAGAAGCCAATCTATGGGTCTAATAACTCCCAAGAGCCATTGCCTTTTCTAATCTGAGACCAGAAGAACTAGATGGTACCTGGCTGAACACAGTAGAAGATCCCATAGAATGGGAGAAAAATGTAGAACAAAATCCACATTCCTACAGAAGGTCACATAGAGACCAGATACTCTCCTGCCCTAAGGTATTTTTAGGTCTATTGCTTTAAAATACCCTTTGCATTTGGATTTAAAATAGTCACCTTTTAGCCAAATAATAGATTAGTTTGTATATAAACAGTATCACATCTGAGTGATGTTTTCTTTAGCCAATCAATTGGATGAGAAGGAAAGGGAAGCCAGATCTGTGGAAACAAAACAAACAATGGAGAAATAATGTCGACACATTGTAAAAACTGAACCAGTGACAGGGAACAATTTGTATAAAAACTGTTAAGGCAGAACCTATTTCGCTGTATAACCTTTTACCTAATACACTATGAAAAAAACACTATGTGTTTTTTTAAGAAAGAAATTAAGAGTTGATTTTGAAGGCCTGAGGATGTTTAGATAATAACTGTGGTCAGAGTTTGCCCACAGTTCTCATTTTCTGGTCTGGCCTGGGGAGAGACCAAGGTTCTGATTGCTTATTTTCTAGGGTTTTCATATTTTGTTAGAGGCTCTTACTGGTTCTTTGGGTAGAATACTTCTTTCTATATCATATCTGTACTCATGCTCTCCATTTTCCAGTTGAGAATTTTATGTCGGTTCTTTCAAAACCAGAGTTTTGATTTATGCAGTAGGTTAAACTTAATTTCAGATTTTAATTAGTCCAGCGTTGGGTTCTATTGATTCACTAAAACTAGTTAGTGTGGGGAAAAAAAACTAGTAATGGAATCTTTTTCATTCCCACCTAAGAATTTATTATGAGATACACATTAGCAAAACTTTAAAACATTATTTAAGTGGCATTTTAAATTTTCAAAATAAATAGAAATTCTTACCAATGTGCTTTATTTGTTTCTTTGACACTGACGTACTGTTAGAAGGTAGGTTATTCTTGAACCATATTTAAGTTAGATTTTCTGATGCTTCCTAGTCTTCAAATAGTGGTATGTCTGTGGAATCTCAATTTGATTCTCTACAGCTGTCCTTTTATACAAGATGGTACTATGAGGGGGAGGACCCTATAAACTGTACTATGTGAATTTCATAAAATAAAGAATCTGAAAGTTAATATTGTCATGTGAGATGGCCTAAGTGTGGTTGAGGGAGCCCTGGTGGTTTAGGGGTTACAAGATGGGCTGCTAACTGCCAGGCCTCCTGTTTGCAACCAGCAGCCCCCTGGCAAGAGAAAGGTCAGGCTTGTCCAGTTAGTCTCGCAAACTCACAGGGGCAGTTCATCCTTGTTTCAAAGGGTCACCAGAGTCCGCCTTGACTCGATGGCACCGAGTTTGGTGTTTAAGGTTTTTGTTGTTGTTGTTGGAAGTGTGGTTTGAAGACTGGGATGATTAGTGCTTAGAAAGCTTTCTCATTTATTTTTAATTCCCCGGGTAGGAACTTGAGATGGCTATATTCCTATGAGAAACAAAAGTTTCTACTCAAGGTAAAATTTAAGGAAAAATTTGGTGAGGGTTTTAGACTGTTATTATGATTTCAATAACATAGAGTACTCTTTAAACTCAATTCCAAAAATAATGAAAATAATATAACCCAGAGCCCCAGGTTCTTAAAAGGGCTTTTCCTTTTATTCAAATGGAATAAACAGTTTTTTTGTTGTGTTTCATTATAGTGATGCCAAAACGGCTTTGATCCTGCATGTCACTTCTCCACCCTTCCGTGCGTCACTCTGCTCTATTGGCTCACGTTTTAATCCTTGTCTTTGAATTCACCGACCTCCCTAGTCTTGCTCCAGTATTAGGGTTCTCCCCTCATCTTCCTTGTGAGGCAGCCCACAGGGAAGGTTCCCTGCATCTATCCTGTAGGAGGTCTATGACTCCCAGTGGACTCGGCGGCTGTTGGCTTGCTTTGGGTGTCTTACTCCTGGAGTTCGTGGCTAGTACAACAGCTAGCAGGCTCACTGGATAACCCAGATCTCAGAGAGTTGAGTCTACCCAGAGGTGCCTCAGAAGAAATGCCTGGTGATCTATTTTTGAAAAATCAGTCTTCAAAATCCTATGAGGAATAGTTC